TTTTGTATAAAACATAAATATTTTGATTAATAACAGAAAAACATAATTATTTAATTTAAAAACTTGATTTATTTCAAAAAAAATTGTCACTTTAATTTACTTATGCAATTTTAATTTCTATCTTTCAATTATACTATCTAATTAATACTTTTAAAATATTATTTTCTCATTTTATATTAACCCTCATTCAAATACACATAATTAATAAAAATATATTGATAAACTACTATTTTCTCACTTTCATTTATTACACTTTTTTTAATTCATCCGAAGTATTAACTATAACATTTATTTTGAAATGATGTGAGTACCTTATATTTTTTCCCCTCATTTTTATCCATTTTCTTTCTATACAAACAAAAAAAAAGTCATTTTAAATTCATCTAACTTTATATTCACTTAAACTTTTTTAACATTCTTTTCTTTTACTACTTTCTATCTTTTCACTTACCCAAACTTAACATTAAAGAAAAAAAATCGAATGAATGAGCATACATAGAGTCGATCATATACTATTATAGTAGCTGATGTGACTCTTGAAAATGAGCTGTACAATACAGAGAAATAAATATACTATCGGTGACATTAATTAATAATTGTACGCAATGTCTCTGAGAAGAACACTATCGTTCCTGTGTCTCTTGTGATTTGTTTGACTTCGAAGGAAAAAAAAAACACAGAAACAAACAAGAACAAAAATGACAAAACTCACAGTTACAACGTTAATGGGCATAATCAAAGACAAAGCTTCTCAAAGCAAAGCTGCGTTACTCTCCAAACCCACAACTCTCTCCCTCTTACGCGTCACAACTCACAACTCCTTCTACCCTCCAACTCACAAACATATTTCCACGCTCCTCTCTTCCACCGACGGCTCACGTGCCACCGCATCAGCTTTTCTCGAACTCCTCATGGACCGTCTTCACAACACCAACGACGCTGCTGTAGCACTCAAATCTCTCATCGTCGTTCATCACATCATAAGCCAGGGGAGTTTCATCCTCCAAGATCAACTCTCTGTTTACCCTTACACCGGTGGTAGAAACTACCTCAACCTCTCGAATTTCCGACGGAACACAAATCCGACGTCGTGGGAACTTTCCTCTTGGGTTCGATGGTTTGCTCAACATATAGAGAATCTTCTATGTAGTTCGCGAATCTTGGGATTCTTCTTTCTTAGAAACTCTTCATCGGACGGCGAAGAGAGGGTTTCGGCGATTACCAACGGTGATTTGTTGAAGGAGTTTGATTCCTTGGTGACGCTTGTTGAGGGGATTTGCAAGAGGCCAGATCGTGGTTCAGATTCCAACAAAGGAAACGAAAACAAGTTGGTGGATGAGATAGCGAATTTAGTGGATGGAGATTGGGTGGTGATAGAAACTGTGGTGATTATTGAAGTGAGGGAGTTTAAGGAGAGGTTAGGGTGTTTGGAATTTGGAGAAGCTGTTGAATTGGTTTGTTGTTTGAAGAGATTGGAAGAGTGCAGAGACAGGGTAGTGATGATTTTGAAGTTACAACAAGGGTTTTGGCATTTGGTGAGAGATTTGAAGGAGAAAGTTGGAGTGGAGGTGTATAAGGAAAAGGGTAAGGTGCAGAAAGAAGGAAGGAGGGTAAGGTTTAGTGAGTCGGACCGGTTTTCTGATCGAGTTGTTAGTTCTTATGATTCCATACGGTTTTCTGATGGAGTTGTTAGTTCTTATGATTCCATACGGTTTCCCTCTGGAAGGTTTCTGTAATGTAATTTGTGAATATAGAAACTACAAAATTTTAGTTATGGAATTGTATGATTATGATTATAATGTATAGGGGTTAGTGATATTATTTATTTTTCTGATTTATTGTTATAAGAATGTAGGAGAAATGAAAAACCTGAGAATGTTGGAGTTTAAAAAAAGCAGTAGAAAGCTTGAAGCAGGTTTGAGTGTGTGATAAATTGGATATTGGAAGGTGGCAAGATGATAGTGAGATGAGTGGTGATTTGACTGTCTACGTTACGAATATGCGGAAAGGATATTTATGAGTAAACAAAAATTAACACGACAGTACGTGACAATTAAATAAAATGTATTCTGTGCAATACTTGGGTCTGCTCCAATTACATTAGTGATCCGCATAGTTTAACGTTAATTTATGGTTTAATATTCTTTTATTATATTAATCTCAAGTTCATTTTGATTTCTTTAACTCGTTAAAAAATATATCATGTCAGTTTTTTTTTTTTCTAATTAATGATAAATTTAATAATTAATTTTAATTTTTTATGTATGTTATTGTATATTATTAATTAAATTAAAAGGACTAACATATTATATTTTAAAAATTTTAGAAAAATATTAATCATTTTAAATTAAGAAACCAACATGAATTAAACTTTAATTTATTAATAATATAGGCAATAAATTAAATTCTCTAATTCATCTATAGTCCTATTCTTCTTTAACCTTTCTGGTTGCCTTTTGATTGTGGTGGTTGTAATTCAACTTAACTTTTTTTCTCCCAAAGAGTTTCCTCATTCACGGAATAAACTACAAGTACATAGCATGCCTCATACATTTGTTTTTTTTGTAGCAATCAGACACATAATTTTAAATCTCTAATTTTTGAGATTTCATGCAAGATATTGCATGACAATATGGTAAACCTATCAACATCCATCTCCTACAAGAACACACCTAGGTGGACAGATTCACAGTATATTTTCTCCATTATATGAGATGTGCCTCACCTCATAATGAACAAATGTAAAATACACATGTTAATGAAAAAATACCTCACAATCCAATTGTTTGTTTTTTTAGATTCTTTTGCAATCCTTTTCTTGATATTGGATAAAATATCATCTTCAAACTTAACAATTTTCTTTCTGTTTGAATCCCACCTTTGCATGAGATACACTCTGATTTCTTCAATCATTGTTATGATACGCTTGACTCTAGCTCTCACAAACACAGAGTTGAAAGTCTCTGACATGTTGTTCACCAGGATATCACACAAAGGATTGGTCTTGAAGAAAGCCTTGGTCCAAAATCTAACTGGTAACTTTATTAAATGCTTGAATGCATCTTCATTAACAACCTTCATTTCCAACACGGCTTTTCCAAAAGCATTTGTATAACTAGTTGTAGCAACTTTCCAAATTAACTCTTTGAGTTTAAATTCTGGGAATTTCTTTCTAAAGTTGTTGTATAGATGCCTTCATTTATGGATAAATAATGAACAATCAATAAACCAATAATGGACATTCAATTAACATTCATTAAATAAGATATATACCTTACACAAAATCTCTGGTCCACTTGAGGCAACCGTTTTTCTAGAGCTGGTAAGAGTCCATATATATATATATATATATATATATATATATATATATATATATATATATATATATATATATATATATATATATATATATATATATATATATATATATATATATATATATGTATGTATGTATGTATGTATGTATGTATGTATGTATGTATGTATGTATGTATGTATGTATGTATGTATGTATGTATGTATGTATGTATCAGTCATCAAATAGATCTAGAAATGAACAACATATTAATGAAATTAATTAAGTGAGTACCTTTTGTTGGTCACTTATGAATGTGTATGTTTTGCTCATCCTTGTACCTTTTAGATCAGATATAATCAATTCAAGGAACCAACTCCATGAATCTTTGGCTTTTTCTTCCACAACAGCAAATGCAATTGGCATCATCTGATCATTTAGATCCCTTCCAATTGCAACAAGTATTTGTCCACCATAGCAACCTTTCAAGAAGCAGCCATCCAAACCTATTATAGGTCTGCACTTGAAAAAATTGTCCTTCCAATTCAACTAACTTTCAGGATTCTCAATGCTTTCTTCTCCACCTTGGTATGGTTGACTTGTAACTTTCACTGTTGAACCAGGATTGGACCTCAACAGTTCATGTGCATAGTCATGTATTCTTTTGTACTGCTCCTTAAAATTTCCATCTACAATATCAATTTCCATAGTCTTTGCCCTGTATGCAAGAGTTTTGTTGATTCCCACATTCCATTTCTGTTGGTTCTTCTCCATAATCTCACATAGCTTTAAACTAGGGTTCTCTCTCACATTGTTCTGTATCTTACTGTTGAGCCACTTAGATGTGAGAAAATTCACCTTGTAATCTCTACTACATGTGTGTTTATCAATAATCTTCCTGAGTTGTCATGTATCTTCATTTTGAATTTTTTCACAATATGCCTCCCATGGACAGCCTTTTTTACATATCACTCTCATTCTTTTCTTGTCATTTTTCGTGAACTTCATTTCCTACCATTATGTATGGCATATGTCATAATATCATCCTTGAAATCTTGTTTAGAAGCAAAGTATGTCCCCAATTCCCACTTATAGTCATCCATCCTTTTAGACATTTTGAAAGTTTGCCAATCTGGCTTTTCAACACAGTCATCTTTACTAAAATACTCTTGAAAGTCATCCTCACTATTCTCATCCTCTATGTCACTCAAACCCTTCAAATTTAAATTTGGTTCTTCTTCATCTGTATCACACTCATCCAAAAGACGTTTTTCACCAGATGTTTCACACTCATTAATTTTCTTACATAGTCTTCCAACTTTTCCTTTACCTTTACCCTTCCCCTTACTTTTACCATTCCTTTTTCCCCTTTTTCAGACCTTTGTTCATTAACCACCTCATCTTCAGAAACTTCATTTTCAGAAACTGCTATATCTTCATTCATAACCACATCATAATTAGAGTCTTCAAAATTGATCCTTAATGCACTAACATCACTACCACCATCTTTTCCCTCATTTATTCCCTCATCCACCTTTATTTTACGGTTCACATCCTTAACTACCTCTTTGTTACAGTTCAGTCCCTCTTGTGTCTGTATGTTACATTTCAGTCCCTCTTCTGCCTCTTTGTTACAATTCATTCCCTTTTTTGCCTCTTTGTTACAGTCCAGTCCCTCTTCTCCCTCATTATTACAGTTCAGTCCCTAATCTCCCCCATCATGTTCAATTTCAATTGTCCCTTCATCATGTTCAACTTCAGTGGTCCCCTCATCATGTCCAACCTCAGTGGTCCCCTTGTCTCCAGCTTTCACATCATGAACAATATTTGTGGTCCCCTTGTCATTTATATCTCCTCCTTCCACATCAGCTTCAACTTCAATGTATCCTTCATCCATAACACTTTCCATTTTAATTGGAAACTTTTCAGTATTGTCTCCTTTATTCACTACATTCTCCATACAAGTGGTTCCCTCATCATAGTTCTCACCTATCTCAGTTCCAGTGGCACCTACTTCAACATTGTACTCAAGTGATAGTATTGGTTCCTCAATTACTTCATCTTGTAGGATAGGATGCATAACATATAAATGCACTTCCCCAGTCAACTCATCAATTGTATGCATCCTCCTAGTTTCATTGTCATCTTTCAACTCCACTATGCTATTACACTCCATTTGATCATAATACCAAAGGCTCTCTATAGTTGGATAACCTAAATCCTTCAACCCACCCAATACTTTGAAGTAACTCCAAAAATCAGACTCAACATCCCAAGTTTCCTCTAAGCCATTATAACCTAAATTCGTGAACTCAGCAAACTGACCCCCATGATGAACAATGCATTTAAAACGACTATCCATGACCTAAGGAAGATGAAAAATCCTAAATGAGAAATACAACTAACAAAGAGGAAATAAATACAATTTGCACTATTCGTACCTTAAAACATATGATGAAGGTTATTCTTCTTTCTCTCAGTAAGGAAAATTCCACAAACCCTAAAAATAAAGATGAACGAAGTATCAGTAACGAAGAAGAACAAAAATGTATGAAACAAAAATGTATGAAACAAAAATGAAGATGAACGAAGTATCAGAAAGGAGGATGAACGGAAATGTATGAAACGAACGAACTTAACAATTAAGATTGATTAACATACCTTGACGAATGAAGATGAAGATGGGTGATAACTACGTGAACAAAGATGAAGATGGACGATAACTTTGTGAACAAAGATGAAGATGAATGCTAGCTTTGTTAGCGTTTTCTCACAGAGCTCAATGAAGTCAAAATGAAACATTTAAAATTCATTTACTTTTTATTAAAAATGTCTTAGCATAAATCCATGTCACCTAAGGAAGCCCAGTTGGGCTGTCACCCTAGCAAAAACTAACGAAAATACACAACTTTTAATAAAAAGGATGACATTGGCTAACAAAATTATTAATAAGGGACCTGAAATGAACGTTTATTACATAAGGGACTGAACTGAAAATTGAAATTAAATTAAGGGACCAAAGGATGCATTAAGCCTAAAAATATATATAGATTCCCCTCTCATATTTATTTTTAATTCCTTATTAAATAAATCAGTCTTTTTCTTAAGTGACAATGATATATTATAATTTTGGATCTATGTGCAGGGAGTGACAATCAAAGATCATTGTATAAGAGAATCAAATGATCTTAGTACTTTGAATATTACAAAACTATTTAGAAAGTTAACCGAGAATGAGAATGAGCTGAAACGACATGTTGATAGCAAAGTAAGGTCGAAAAAGAAACATAAAGGTAAAGAAGAGAAACAAGATCTTTCTTTGAAAGCTTCATCATTAAAAGTGAAGAAGTCAAAGGAAGTGACAACTCTGACGAAGAAGCTTCCAAAAAGAAAGAGATAGATTTATTTGTCAGACGCTGTAACCCGGTGAACTGACTTTAAACAATGTTGCGGATAGCAAGAGTCGCCACCGACTTTTATTTTATCCATAAGGAAAGGTTATAAAAGAACAGGAAAGACCTTAGAGAATATTTTGGGTCCGGGGGGTAGGTTATGAAAAGGGAAGGTATTAGCATCCTTTTCATCCATGGTTATCCATGGGCTCTTAGGTACTTAAGCTCACTTTTGAATTGTTTTGAAATTGTAGTGTGTGAATAGAAAATTTTCAGAATAGTTAATAAATAATCCATGTATGGATGTGAAAAAAAACTTGTTTGAAAATTTTGTTGGAAATTTGTTTAAGTGTGAAAAAGTTTTGAAGTGAGCAAGCACCTAGGAGTAACCTACCCTAATGTTTAAAGGTCTTTCCTATTCTTTATTCTTTCCTTTAGTAAGACTATCCCTACTATAATGGAGTAGGTAGTCCTTACTTTGGATGTTAAGGGACATGTGAGGGACAATTGGATTTTTGAAGGCCATGGTGGGGTGTAATAAGCACATATAAGGGACCATCATCATTTTTCGAAAGGGACTTGATTCGTAAAGGCAACCATAAGGGACTTTGATGATTTTTTTATTTGAGGGATTTGCTTTATACACCCCACTTAACCATTATTCGTAGGCAACTTGAGGGATATCCTTAGGAAGTGAGACGTCGATTAAAATCGACTTACGTGTGTGACGTGTTTATTTTAATTATCTTTATTTAAAAGTGATCTAAATTTATTTTAATATTACATACATGTTATTACACTCCCTAATTACTAACCATAATAATAATTAAATAATTAAACAACTTTACATCCAAGAAACAATTACAAAATAATAAGCAAAATAATTAAATAGCAAAGATAAATAAAATATAAATAAGCAATAATAAATAATAAAGGGGGTTAATTCTAAGTTTACTCGGCAAGACATCGCATCTTGTGCCTACGTATCCTTACGGGAGTGGAATCAGAGTAATCGTAGTTCCCCTCAATAGGGAGGTTAGAAACTTCTTGACTGTGGTCAAGGTCTCAAGGGGAATAAACGCATCTTAAGGACACGCTTACGTGGAGTGTAGAAACTCCAAATCTCTATGTTGAAATGTTAAGTTGTAATTAGGGTTAAATTAGGGATTCCACGGCGGGAAACCCTAAAATGAGCGCGGCGGCTCTTTGACCTAATGCTAAGGGTAAAATTGTAATTTTGCCTGCGGCGAGGCATTTGTGAAAATTAGGGTTTGTAGTTTGTAGTTTTGAGGATTTGAAATTGAATGTGTGAAGTTTTACGGACTATTGGCGCGGCGGCCAAACAGTTAGACCTAACCTTCGGATGTGTGCAATGTGACGGAAATAATAGTAAACGCGTGAGATAATTGAATCATGCAAACAGAGAGATAATGTCATAATTTAAACCATGCAAGCAGAAATTTAAAGGCAGAATTTAAAGAGCGATTGTTAAGTTCGCGAGGTTACATGAGAGGAGCAGATACAATATGATAATGAAATTTGAATTGAACAATAATAAAATAAAATAAATAACGGTTCTAGTTATTATTTTAAAAAAAAAGATTTTAGTTATTATTTTAAATTTATCTAAAAAAAAGTTTTTCTTAAAAATAATAGGTTTTCATATTAATTTGGAAAAGATGTTAATGTTATTTATTTTAAAAAACAGATTTTTATATTATAACAAATTTTAATAAATTAATGATAACAATAATAATAATAATGGTAATAATAATGATAATAATGATAATAATAATAAATAATGATAATAATAATAATAATAATAATAATAATAATAATAATAATAATAATAATAATAATAATAAAGCAATAATGAATTTTAAATGTGTCAAATAACCCAACAATGTTGCTAACGCAGAAATGCGCTCATCGCAACCAGATCTAAATCGGACGAAACAAAATTTATCGCAAAGAAAAAGAAATTAAGCAAAAAATAGTATTATTGCTCACACAAAAATGCGATCATCGCAACCAGATCGAACTAACACAAATGTCACGCGTCATGCACACAAATGTGCAAACATCGTATCGACATAATTCGATCAAAAATCTTATATATATAAACTCTAACAATTTAAAAATTATATATATATAAACGTAACAGTAATAGATAAAGAAAAAGAAATAACGGTAATAGATGAAGAAAAAGAAATAACGGTAAAAGATGAAGAAAAAGAAACAACAGTAATAGATGAAGGAAAAGAAATAACGGTAAACGATGAAGAAAAAGAAACAATAGTAATGGATGAAGAAGAAAACTAAATAACGGCAAACGGCACTCACTCCTCTTAGGTTTTTTTCATTCTCTCCCTTTTTTCCAACAAGGCAACACATGTATATATAGGGAACAAATTAGGGTTAACACCAAATTGTCAATAATGTCCCTAAAGCCCATTTTAAAGCCCAAACTAAATAATTAGTTAAGAAAAAAATAAAATTTAAATAATTTAAAATAATTAAAATAAACTTAAAATAAAAACTAATAATCCTATTGATTCCTAAAATAAAAAATATTATAAAAAGAACAAAATTTTTTTCAATATTTTTTATTTTATGATTTTTTGGATATTTTTATGAATAATTTAGAAAAAAGTGAAAAAAATAATATTTTAAAAAATGATTTAATTAAAATACGAAAATAATAATTAAATAATAATAAAAAACTATTTTTGTTATTTTTTTAATGAAAGATAGAAAAATTTAGAGTAAAAATAATAAAAAACAAAAAAAATGACAAAGGTGAGATTCGAACTCTCAACCTCTCACACTCATAACTCCTTACACATGTCCTCCTGCCAATTGTGCCATTTTTACTTTTTAGAAAAAAAATGCATGCCATATGATATTTACCTCTCTTTGATGTTGGCAAAAAAAAAATCATGAAGTTTGACTTTGGTTTGACCACAGTTGACCTCAGTTTGACCTTTTAACTGCATTGACTGCTTTTGACTTATCTGATCATCTGACTGAGCAAACTTTTGAGAAAAGTCTTGAAACTTGACATGGGGGTTCTTATACACATATAAGATGTTATGAAGCTCACTTGAAGTCTTGGAAGTCCATTTAGCCTGATTAAAGTCAAAACCCTAGTTTTGGATGCACTGCTTAGGAGGTGCATTGTCTGAGGGAATTGTCAACTCTTCTGACCAATTGTGAATTTTGTGAACCTTGTGAACCTTCTTGGAACACAAAGTCTTGTATTGTGAGGGCAAATTTTGGGGTGCAACAGCTGCCCCTGTTCAATTTTCTGAAACCTGAGGGGTTAGATTGGTATATTTGCCAGTCGTAACCTGGAAGGTTGAAGGGGATTGAACACAAAAGCCCAAAAATTTGCACTCACCAGTGCATGGAGTGATATTGATGGTTGGTTGAACATGATTGAGTGGGCTTAAAGATGCCACTAGGGGAAAGTTCTTCAGTAGTATAATGAGAACTGTCAGGAGTCTGGAGTAATACTGATGTAACAGCATGTCTTCATGAGGATAGAGCAATCAATAATGATAACCCTAAAGCAGTCTTGAAGTGATAAATCTGACCTCAGGAGGATAGAGCAATCAATAGCTCTAAAGCAGTCTTGAAGTAATAATGGCTTCAGGAGGATAGAGCAATCAATAGCTCTAAAGCAGTCTTGAAGTAATAGAATGGCTTCAGTAGGATAGAGCAATCAACAGCTCTAAAGCAGTCTTGAAATAATAATGTGATATGTCTTCAGGAGGATAGAGCAATCAATAGCTCTAAAGCAGTCTTGAAGTAATGATTTCAGGAGGATAGAGTAATGGATAGCTCTAAAGCAGTCTTGAAATAATAATGTAATTTCAGGAGGATAGAGCAATGGATAACTCTAAAGCAGTCTTGAAATAATTAGATGGCTTCAGGAGGATAGAGCAATGAATAGCTCTAAAGCAGTCTT